ATTTTCACAGGACTAGTTTCGATGGTTTTAGCGAACCACCAGCCTCAGCTGCGAAACCGCAAATGAAACTGTAATTTTGAAAATATAACACTCATTTTTGTTGTTTGACTTCTGAATTAAGTTTTCATTATTTTAATATAATCAAAGACAAAGTGTCGGGGAGCAATTTTCTCAGGTAGGAAAATTAAAATGACTTTTGTAAGAATTATGCATGCTGATCTGAAGATTGCATTTTAAAAACTGACAGAACTGCCAATTTCTTACTCATTTTTAATTAGGATTATGAATGATTTTTAACTCAATCTGTTTTAACAACATTTTTAGTCTCGATTCTTATTTTAGGAAAAGACGAAACATTTTCGCTTCTAATAATTATTGTTCAGTGGTAGGAAGTTAGTGTGTTTTCCTTGAAAGGTCAAGTAATTTCCGGTCAATGACGATAATTACTTAGTTTGTTGGTTACATTTTCACTTTTAACTATTTCATTTTAATAATTCCATTTTAAATATGCTAATGACTTAATTAAATTTAGAAAATTCTAACTATTGTTTTATTATTTTGCAGCTTCAGCGCAAGCATTATGCAATTTATTACTGATATAATAGATATAACCTTATGTATACCTAATACCTTATATATATTATATTATATATATATTATGTTTAAATTACTTAGTTCGAAATGAGATAACACGAGGTGTTCGGGGGCTTACCGATAATTTATCATTATACTGCAAAAAATTCTTTTCACTCAATTGATTAGCGAAATTCTTAATCAGAATGAGTTCTAGGCTCTGTATGGTCTTGAATCCTTCAATTCACGGAATATTGGCTAACTTTAACGTGCCGTTGGCATCGCCGTATTACTGAGTAAGGACGAAAAACCTTCGTATTTATTTCGTCGTATTGTTCATGAACGGGAGTGTTTGTTCCCCTTGAAAGTCAGTTAATTCGATCAATAGCATGATACTGCTTTTACATTTAATTTTTTTACATGAAATTTGTTATTCATGATTTAATTCAGTCCCAGGAACATTTTTAACAATTTACATTCAGTGCTTAAAACAATTTCGAAATAAATTACATGGATCACATTTTTAGATAATTCTACTAAAATTAATCTTAGGAGATAAATAATCCATATGTCTTTAATAAATAATTATTTAACTACATATAGTCCTGGAAAATGTTGCGGCACAACTTTTGAGGTAGGGTATAGCATAGGAAAGATGCAATAGGAACCCCTGCACGAAATGGAAAGTAATTGGTAGCAAGACAGAGTGAAAGAAACAAGAGTGATTAATTTGAAACTTTTATTGGACATGAATACAAATGGTGTACGACACCTTGAATGTTACAACAGATGCTCGAAGTTTGCACTATCAGACGCCAAACATGCCTGACACCGGCGGACCATTTATTGCCGGACATGTTCAAACATACCGGAAGTTCCTTTGATTGTAGCAGCTGCGCAGGTGAGTCTTGCCATAAGATAAATTTCAGACACAACAGGATCGTAATACACGATACTTTTGATGGCTTCCCGCAAAAAGAATTAGAGGTTTGATAAATCTGGTAAGTCCAACATGCCCAATGCGGGAATAATCTGTTCAAATGGCTACGAACATCCAGCCCAAACTGAGCCCACTTCTTAATGACCCGTAGTCGCAAAAATTTTGATGCAGACGTGCAAACAAACTGTGGTACGGTTGATGTCTGTAGGAGAAGCGTTCTCGATAAATGTGTGCAGCGGTTCGTCCTGAAACTGTGATAATTTATATAAATATCTCAGCTATTCCATACACTAAGTGCATGTCTGCAAGCTCCCGCTTCGTATAGCGTTGCATGCTCTGTATGGTATGATTGAGGCAATCCTCACTTTCCACTAGCATTTTCCTGTACAGCACACCCTGGAGGTGTACAATGACGTTTCTGGCCATGTGTTCCTATGCAATTCTTAATACTTATGATGGGCCCTACCTTCCCCAGAAGTCTGTCGCAACATTTACGGGACACCCTGTACATATATATGTGTGTGTGTATCTGCGATACCTATATTAATCTTCATTCTCATTCTTTCAAGTAATGCAATGGTGCTTTTCGAAGTATGACTTGTTACTTTGTCTCGATGAAATTTCACTCCTTAAAGATCATTAAGGTAAAGAAATAGAATTTCTTTTCTGAATATCGGACGTGAAACTTTCTCTTGATTGTACGTTGAACTGATTTTAACACCTAATTCCACTCTTCTTATTTTTTATTTTCCAGTGTAATAAAATCCTGCGGAGATCATAAATTCTTTAATGAATCTTTTTTTTGCACTGATAAAACCAGGTTATTCGTTTGGAACCCCCTTCGTTTGAGATAATAAATAAACCTTTTTTGTTGCAGTCATTTAGTTAAACCCATGCTTCATCAAGGGTCAGAATATATTTCCATTACTCTCTTGCTAAATAATTTTCGTGCAGTGTTGTATAAACTGTTCTACAATTATGTTCTTTTATTATTATTATTATTATTTAGCCCAAAGGACGTTAGCCCAGAAGAGCTATTAATTTCGTTTTGGCATTTTGAGTCAAAAACTGTAAAAATCCGAATCTTTATTCAAATTCTGCGCTTAAATATTAACCTCTATTTATTTAAAGAAATTAAATATGAGCATTGCATAAATAATATTTCTCGTATTGTGATAAACAACGGTGCTAGCCATCAAATTTTGAATAACGTACGTCTTCACCCGAATATGGGCATCCGGAAGCCAAAATTCGGAATCTGAAATAGGTTTCATTAACTATTTCAGATTTTGTAAAGCATTATGAGTTTTTGATTAAGAAACTTAACGATTTCAAAGATAGCAATGGCAACACTGTACACACGAGCAAAATAAAGGGGGGGTGAGTAATCTCCAGCGAGCGAGACTGTGTATCGGAAATCATAAAGATATGCTCTTTTAAAATTATTTTGCGATATCTCTGTAGAACTGAATTTTATAGTTTAAGTACGAAGAACATGATATTTTATAAATAAAGGTAGCACACAAAACGTTAATATCGCCCGTTTGGGCGTAATATAAAATGTGAAAGCTTTCACCTTTTTATTTAAGTTATTAATAAGTTATTAATATAACTTTTTATTTAAGTTATTTAATATTTTATTTATTAGTGTTAGAGATGCGTTTAAATACTTTGAAACTGATTTCCACATGGGTGGACTTTCTTTTGCTATGAGCGATTTAATTTTAGCAGTGACGTAGCTAGGGTGGAGCAAAGGGGGACATCCGTCCCCGGAAGCAGCATCCAGGGGCGCCAAATTGATGATACACATTTCAGAATGAAATGTTTTCCATTCTTGGAACACAGAAAGGGCCACAAAATCTTTAGGTGTCCCTGGGCGCTTAAAACCTTAGCTACGCCTCTGAATTTTAGAAACTATACGTACATTTTCAAGTATTGGTTTGGAGTCTGCTTTCTATGCATAAGTAATGATTGACGCCATTTTCCTTTCCTATAAATAATATTGCTTACTTTGCAGTTAAAAGTTTCAATACCACGCATTTCACGACGTTTTTTTTAATTGTGGAGTAGGAATATTTATTTTCGGAAAGCGCAAAAACATATTATTCAATTTACAGCTTCATTATATGCGACATCCTAAAAGAAGAATACACTAAAGTGACAAAAGTCATGGGATACCTCCTAATATTTTGTCGGTTTTTTTTTTTTTTTTTTTTTTTTTTGTGCCGGCGAGTGCAGCCTCGACGTGGCATGGACTCAACAAAGTTTGACGTCCCTGCAGAAATTGAGCATGCTGCCTCTATAGACGTCCATATTGTGAAGTGTGACGTGAGGGTTTTGGCACGAACTGACCTCTCGATGTCCATAAATTTAGATAGGATTCATGCGGGCGATTAGGGGCCAGATCTTCGCTGAATTGCCCAGAATGTTCTTCACAACGCGACATGTGGCCGTACATGGATAGTCATCCTAAAATCCCATCGTTGTTGAATACGTGAATCCTGAATTCTGTAAGTGATCTCCAAGTAGCTGAAGGTATCCATTTCCGCAATAATCGGTTCAGTTGCACCAGAGGACCGAGTCCATTCCATGTAAAAACAGCCCAGACCATTAGGAACCACCACCCTTGAACGTGCCTTGTTGACAACTTGGGCCCATGCTTCGTGGGTCTGCGCCACACTCGAAACTGCATCAGCTCTTACCAACTGAAATCATGATCAAGCCACGTTTTCCATCGTTTAGGGACCACTTGCTCACGAGCCCACGTGAGTCGCTAGCGAGTCGTGCTGTCAGTAAAGGCACTCGAGTCGGGTTTCTGCTGGCATAGCCCAAGGAAGACAAATTTCGCGCACTGTCCTATCGGACAAGTCCCTCGTATGTCCCAGATTGATTCTGCGTTATTGACGCAGGTTGCTTGTCTGTGACATTGACAACTCTACGCAGACGTCGCTGGTCTCGGTCGTTCAGTGCAGGTGGTCGGCCACTGCGGTGTCCATGGTGGGATGTTATGCCTGAAATTCGATACTCCGGCACACTCTTGACTCTGTGGATCTCGGAATGTGAATTCCCTAACGATTTCCGAAATGAAATGACCACATGCGTCTAGCTCCACTACCATTCCGCGTCAAAGTCTGTTATTTTCTCGTGCGGCCATAATCACGTCAACGCCTCTTCACATGAATAACTTGAAACACAAATGAAAGCCCTGCCAAAGCACTTCGCATTTATACATTTTCTACGCGATACTACTGCCATCTGTACATTTGCATATTGCTATCCCATGACTTTTGTCACTTCAGTGTATATTTTAAACTAACAGACGATATTTCTCAATTCAAATAAAAAGCTATTCCCATATTTTTTTTTTTTCCGAAAACATTTGCTTCTTTTAAATTCTTTACCAAAATCGTTCTAAAAATCTGTAAACATCCTACTGTAGGTTTACATTTTATTAATTCTAAAAAAAAAATTCAAATTTTTAGCTTACTTGGAGCAATGATAGTCGTTGGGTGGGAGAGCTATCCTTTTCCATTCCTCGACACTGATATTGACTCCACTTGGTCTTGCGCACCAATGATCCAGGTTAGGTGCCAAAAATGAGATCGAAAAGTTGTGCGTAGCATCTGGTATAACGAAAAGAAGGATGATCAAAAATATCCTCCTCTGCCACGGTCCATTTCCACCTACAACATCCAATATGTCGCTTTTCTTGGACACAGTTCTATTCGACGGAAGAGGGTCTGTTTCAATGTCAGCCGTCATATGGAGCGTCTAGGGGGGGGTCTGTGAACAAATGAATAGTATATGTTTCACTAACTCATTTGAGTAGTTCACTTCAGTAGTTCATTCACTAACTACTGAAGGAAATGTGAGAAAGATTAGTTCTGTAAACTCATTTGAAAAGTGAAATCTGCTCCTGAATCGTAAATTTAGCATCAGCTTAAGTCATTTTATGCTTTTATGTTTATTAAGATTTTGATAATGTACTGTAAATAGATGTTCACTGCGGGGGAAAAAAAAGAAAAGAAAAGGAAAAAACAAAGGCAGTTCTAATTATCTCCCGTTCTCCAGGGCAGTTTGACGAAATTCAACATGCGTTTTTCATGTCTCGAAAGCGCGACTTAGGATATATATTAGATTTATATATAGCATCATTCTAACATAGGTATTTTAACATACCGTAATTTCCGGAAGAAAGGCCGCATCAGCGTAAACGCCGCACTCGAGAAAAATGGCGGAAAAAAAATTAAAATTACACAGAAACGCCGCATCAGCGTCCGCAATAGATTAAATTGCGCGTGATCGTCGTGGCCCATAGATGCAAAATCAACCTAAGTCCTGATAATGACATCCAGTTAAGAAAAATGCATGAAATAAAAACTCAAAATAAATAAGGTAAAAATGTTAGATTCTGTGCCGTTTAGAGCATTTAAAAATTTTCCGTCCCTATTAAAACTATCAAAAGTACTTGTCTAACTGATGGATCTTATTTGGCAGAAGCAAGAAAATCCATTCATGTGAAGCGTGAAATACGTCAGAGTTCTATTTCGAGGCAGGGAAGTAGTGTCCGCCTTTGAAAAAATTGCAGAAAGGCAGGGGTGGGGAGAGGATGTCCTGGAAGATCATCGAATAAGGAGAGAGACTATTCAAACTGATGAGAATTTTGATTTGAAAGGGTAAGAATTTTTGTTCTGAGATCGTAGGTGAATAAGGCTGTAGTCCGTTCAGGGAAAGAATGTAAAAAATACGTTCGCAAAAACAACTGAGTTCTTTTGTGTGGAACAGACTAGTCTATGCACATGACAAGGCCATCCAAACTATGTACAGACCTTATAGGAATATTTTTTTTTATGCACCTACGCCGCATGGTAGAAACGCCGCACCCGCTGAAAATTTAAGTTTTAAACACGTAAACGCCGCGGCGTTTCTTCCGGGAATTACGGTAATTATATTCTAACATAGGTAAAATCGGACTTTTCTGAAATGGCATGCCAAATGTATTCCATATTTCCTTTTTACTTCGTACAAGGAAGTAAAAAGTAACAGAAAGCAATTTTTTTGGTAAGTTATCAGTATTATTTTCAGCTATATATCGCATATTCGAATACTGTTTATCAAGGGGAAAATAAATATTCCATTTTCTGTTTTAGAAACAAATTAAATGCAAAAAATCCTGTTATGGTGACCATCTTCCTTAGAAGACCATCTATAAAAGTGATCTGCATTTCTGAGAACGGCAACTATTTACTTAGCAGATCACAATTGTCTGCAATAGAAGATTGTCGTTTTAAAAGACTCACAGTATTTGATGCATTCATATTTCACACTGATAAAATAGTTCAATAATCCAGATAAAATTCCGGGAATCACTACAAAAAATAAATGATATTTTATATTCAAATAATAAATTCCAATTTGTAAATCCTGTAATTTGTAAATTTGTAATCTCGGGATATTGATTAGAACATAAAAAGCCCCAAATCGCATTCTGTAGTTTAGCAGTCGTTTAGTCTTATCTTGCAGATAAAACACTGCCATTTTTATTTGAATTCAAATTATAATTTTAAATTAAAAACATTATTACTTACATTGAGATAAAAATTGTGAAATGAATGTATCACACGATAGGTTTTAAACAGTGATTCTAGTATTCTTTTTATGCTGTCACGAATATATTTGCTCTTCTGTGTAATATTATTAAATGGCTAAGGTTAAATATAAGTCTATTTGTGTGCTCAACCAAACCAGATGCTTATGTGCATAATCAATGGAGTGCCCAATGTAAGCGAGACGCTATGGTTCTGCTGAATTCACTCATTTCATCTGCTTTCATTGTAGCATTGATAACAGCATATCTTTACCTATCTCATTTAGAAGGAATTAAACTTCAGGGACGACCTGTTGATACTGTGGAAGCCTAATAATATGGTCTAGGAAATAACTGAGTTTTATATTTATGATCGTGAGAATGTAGAAAAGAGTTTTGAGAGTATATTTGATCATGATGAGCAAATGTGTAAAATATTAGATATAGAGCTTCAACTGCCACGCATCATTCGAAAGCACGTCTATCGATATAATGCTCATTGTAATCCTGAGTTTAATTATTATAAAACTATTTTAGTAATCCCTTTATTGACCATCTCATTTTCCATTTAAAATCTCGATTTTCAAGTTTAGAAAACACTGCATCATCCCTGTTTTGCATACAATCATAAGTATGCGCTGATCATGTGTTGCTGGAAATGAGTTGAAGGTGATATATAAAGATGATTGACCTTCTCCGGAACACTTCTAAACGAAGAGACGAAACGTTGCGACGGCATTTTATGTCTATGCCCAAAGCATAGCTTTCAGACACACCAGTTTTGGCTTTAAAAGCTTCGAATAAAATCTTTTTACCAAATATTGACGTGATTTTGCACATAGCAGATACACTGCCGATAACATCTTACGAATTTGAACGATTCGTAAGTACCTTTTAGAAAATTATAATAGAACTCTATGGCGGAAGAACGCAGAAATTCTTTGGCATTAATGAATTGGCATTAATTATACCAAAGAAATATCCGTTGACAAAGTTATTGATATATTTGCCAGTTTACAAAACGGAAATGCCGAACCAAAATGAAAAGCCAGAAAAATGTTTGCCTTTTCTTTTTTTAATATTTATTTGCAATTTAATTTCATGTCCAAAATAAATGGTGTATTTACAACTTTTATGTATTTAATTCAATATCTTTATTATATGTTATATGCAACAGAAATAAGATTTTTATATTTATATCTTTATAGTTGTATGATGAAACAAAGTAAAGAATTTAAATTCTTTTAATATTTTAATATAATTTTAATTATTAAAAAGAAATATTGAGTTAAGCATTTAATTGTTTGTAGGTAATAAGTATAATTATTTAAATACATATTCCATAATTATGTACATATTTATTCTAATAAAATTCATAGTATAATTGTAATATTTAATATAACTCATAACCTAATATATTCGTCACGTAATAATTACCTATATACTTGAAGATATTGTAATAGGTAGAATACAATACCCCCGTAATACTATAGCTCGTAACGTCTTCCCCTCGTAATTTGAGCTGTCTACGCCCAAGCAATGGACTATGTTTTGTTGGAAAATACTAAAATTTATTACTTAATCAAGTTTAATTTCACTTAATTCATCGTTTTATGTGCATTACCGTCAATTTGGTCGTCAACCAATCATGATCTCTCCTCAATTCAAGTGCTCGTTCCTAAGCCTGCCTCCACAGCCCAAAGCATCGTTCATCGAAATTTTGATTGTTTATTGTGTACTCTACGTAAATTCATAACTTTCATCTTCGTTATTCTGCCTCCGTGCCACGATGTATGAAGAGTGTACATCTTTTACATGGGTTGGACAAAAATATGGAAACACCTTTAAAAAACATATTTCCTTGCTTAATATGGTGTAGGAAACCCGTTGGCATCCAAAACAGCTTGCAGTCTTCTCGGAATGGATAAATACAGTTTTCTGTATGTTTGCCAAGGAATATTATACCATTCTTCTGCAAAACGGTGGCAAGTTCAGATAACGATTTGGCGTGGATAACGAAACTCACTTTCCGTCCCAATGTAACCACAAAGGTTCGATAACATTCAGGTCTGATGACTGTGGGGGCCAGGGGAGATGGACAACTCATCCTCGTGCTCAGAAACCAGTCCTGGACAATGTGAGCTGTGTGAACAGGGACTTTGTCGTCTTGGAAGACACCTCACCATCGGGAACAAAGTTTTACCATGGGATGAACTTGAGCGGCCAAATGTTCACATAAGTCTTGGCAGTCATGTGCCCTGACATAGTTTATCATGGGGCTAGCAGAGAACCACGATATGGCTGCCCAACCATAACAGAACTCCCGCCATGTTTCACTCTTGGCAACAAGCAGTCTGTATTATAGGCTTGAGATGGCGTTCTCCAGACGTAAACTCGGCCGGAAGTGGGAAACAATGTGAAAGAAGACTCGTCAGACCATATTACTCGCTTCCACTGCTCTATAGTCCAGACTTTATGACTTAAACACCACCTTTTCCTGTTACGGGCATTAGCATCACTAATGAGTGGCTTCTCAATTGCAGCACGGCCAGCAATTCCCTGTTTATGAAGCTTCCTTCTAATTGTTTTGGTACTCACAGGGTTTCGGTAACACAACATTCATTTCAGCAGTAACTTTTGCAGCTTTGGTCTTCTTATTTTTCGTCACAATTGCCCTTAATGATCGTCTGTCACGATCACTCATGACACACTTTCGTCCGCGCGTGATTTAGCAGATGATGTTTTTCCGCTTTTCAAATATGCGGAATAAATCTTCGATACAGTACCTCTTGAAACACTAAACATCTCGGCTACCTTGCTTACGAAGCACTACCATACGTGCTCCAACAATTTGCCCACGTTCGAAGTCGTTAACTCTGACATAATGCAATGACAACCTCACATAACAGTACTCCGACAACACTGAACTGTTTAGCACATTACGAAGTTGTATAGGTGGCGTCAGTAGTCAAAAACGCCAGCGCCACCTACATATTTCATTAAAATCAATCTTTCTTTTCAAACATGCATTTCACAAGGTGTTTCCATATTTTTGTTTAACGTTTAAACGGTATTAATTTTCAAGGTACTGGTTAAAACTCTTCTAGTAGTTGTGTACCAGAAGTAAAATAACTATCTACGATCTACAAAATCATCATAAGGAATATTTTCTAATTTTTTTTAAATTTTATGGCAACAAAATTGTACATTAAATGCAAGTTTACCACAAATTATTCATCTGCATTCAGGAAACTGAACTTTAAAAATTTTAACCTGAAACTTGTTTAAATTTGGTTCCAATGAAATTAATTTAGACAAACTTTAGAAAAAGGAAACACAAATAAAATGATAATAAGTCATCTATGACACAAATTAATTGGTTCAATAAAAATGAAATATTACAAGTTTCTAAATGAATTCCATATAAAATAATAAGTTATCATCTAGATACATTAGGAATTTTTGAAAGCAGGAGATGTTAAAAACGAGCAATGCCCTCGCCGACCTCGGACCTCTCGAATACGCGCCGAACGTGCTGACCACTACACCATGAAGGCGGGAGAAATACCTTGTATACTCCATCATTTAAAGGGCGACTGGGGATTAGAGGACCCAATTGCCAAATCCTGGTAACAACAAACAAACAAATTTGGGCGCTCCCCGTTCCGCAACACATTTAAGGTGGCACTATAGGTCCCCCCACTCCTTGCGACCAGAGTCGGAGGTTCAACCTCCTTTCTGGCCCCTTAGAGAGAGAGGCGCACCGCCCGGGTAGTCACCCGGACGGCACTGGTCGTCATTTGCTACCCACCAGTCGCTCGGGCTGCCCGTCGCAGCGGGTCATTACCCAGCGTACTCGGGGAGAACCACCGGGCTACTAGTTCCATGCCGCGCTAGGACGTGCCACTCCGGGCCAGCCATAAGTGACCTTCCTAGAGCCTTCAAACCACCGAGTTCATAAATTTTATACCCCCGTGGCTGAGACTGCCTAGGTATAGATCCTAGCCAGTAGCTTCGCAGAGTTCTCTACGTCGACCCCCGAAGGGGGGAGCCAAATCCTGGTAGTGGAGAATCATCATCCACCACCTTTTTTATTTAGTTTGGGCGCCGCTGTAGAGACATTAGGTATATATTTTGAAAGCACGAGAAACGAAAAATTAGCAATGCCCTCGCCGGGACTCGAACCACGCATCTCTCGCATACGCGCCGAGTGTGCTGACCACTATACCACGAAGGAAGACTAAGAAGGCGGGAGAAATACCTTATAATCAAATTAAACCTTTAAAGTAATGCACGTAATAAAAACCCAAGCACATAATAAAAATCATCTACAATTTTTAAGTATTGTAATAATATTAAAACACAACATTCATCTGAAGATCGTTAAATCCTTCAGTTACACAAACCAGTGCAAACGAGTTTTACAAAATATATAATAATAATAACCAGCTAAATAACAATTTTCAAACTAAGAGAAGAAATTTACATTTAAGCTAATATTTCTCCAATAAAGAATCCACAGATTTCTCACATATAAATTAAATACCCGATGAAAAGCAACATTTCTGTATTTACCTTAAAATTTTTCAAATAAAATTCAAAATTAGGAAATAATCTTTTTTATATCAAAATGTGTCGTAAAACAAATGCATTGAAAACTTTAAATAGAAGAAATGTTTTTTAACTACCTTCAAAATTTGCCGTATGACTGAGAAAATTGAAACTAATAATTAAGAATTTTTATTCTAAATCAATCAAAATGAAAACATCTAAAATAAAATCCAAATATTAACAGATAAAAGTATAAACATGAATGGCAACATTCTCACTTACGTACGATAACTGGAGCAGTAGAGAAGAATTGGAAAGTGTCTTCGTGTTGATCCGAGAGCGAGCTTTAGTTGAACCAGAGCTGCCGCACCTTGGCAGTCCAAGATTACGTTCTCTTCTTCTTCTATGAGTATTCCCCCCCCTCCTTCTTCTCCTTACTGCTGTTTCGCCGCATCCGTCTCATCCTGACGAATCGCTTTGTTCGAATCTTCCACGATATTTACAAGTGAATGATTGCTTTATTTTTCCTTCTTTAACCAGTCCAACTGGCTCTTTTACGAACAAAGTTGATAAAATAAGATCACGTTTGCTAACAGTTTACTGCCTTATTTCGAACTTTAGATAAAATATTTGTTTTTGATATTTTACTCTTCATTGAGAAAGTGGTTCTGGTGATTTTTGATCAATGAAAGATTAATATGCATTCAATGAAGGGAAATTTGATGAAATTTAGGTAAATATTCTAACAGTTATTCTGTCAGAAACGCGTGCACTTTTCTTTGTTGTCATTATTACTAGTTCTTTCGAATGCTATCGATAAATATATGAAAATGGTTTGAAACCAAATTATGAGAAAAGGATACAAAAATATCTAACATTGATTTTATATATATGTATATATATGTTTAGGAAATAAATTATTACATATATTCGGACACCCTACACTTCTGAGTCAGACACGAAGAGAACACTTTGCCAACACCCGCACTAGAAAGAATGTAAGTTCTTAATACCATTTCTGGCCTTTATATCTTCATGTACGTTCACATCTTATTTATATTATTTTCTATTTATTTTATATTTTTTTTATTCTTTGATTGTTTTACAAAGTTCATTATTTACTTATTTTGTAATCTTCTATGTTTATTTCAACTTTACTTTCAATCGATTTCATAATGACAATTTCAATGTTAATTTCTACAAATAATATATACTCAAATGCATAAACATGAAAGTGTCGGGGACGTTACGAGTTAAATAGTATTTCTCTACAGTATTGATTTTTACTCCAAATTGATTGACTAAATGCTTCATAAGAATTAGTTCTTTGAGTATCATCATTGGTTCATAATTCCTTCATTCGCAAAATATTGGCTGACTAAATTGCCGTTTGGCTTTAACTTATAACTCGAGTAAAGACGAAACACTTTCGTATTTACGTAGTTATCATTATTGTTCATTGAACGGGATTGGTTTGTTCCCCTTGAAAAGTCAACTAATTTCCGATCAATGACAATGTTTTTTTAGTTTTTCCTTTTACAATTGAAATTTTCTTCATGAGTTTAACTCCAGTTCCCCTTAAAACATTATTAACATTTTACTTTCAATTACTTCAAAATATCCTTCAAAATATAACTTACCAGTATGGATTCACACTTTTAATAATTCTACTTTAATTAAAATTAGGAGATAATATAATCAATTAATCAATACTGTTTAGGAATAAATTATTATTAACTAACTTTGCAGCAATTGGCGCAAGTAGTATAACTTTATTCACACTAATGATTTAAGATCTACAACATTATATATCTATATATATATATTATATATATATATCTATATATATATTTTAATTTTGGTCTGAAAGACTGGAATTTAAGTTGTTTATTTTATAAAACGTGATGTTTAAATGGTATATCGAAATAACTATTGCGTCAATAACATGACATCTGACACATCTATTGCCAACATAAAATTACAATACATAAAAATAAAGAATCAGTAGTAATGGCATGTAATAAAATAATGCGTAATAAATTCCTTAAAGTGCAGCACAAATAATTATTCTGCATGATATAAGGCATTATTATAATGTAGCATTTTATTAGTTAAGTGCCGTTATGCTTATATAGCCTTTTATCAGTTCAAAGGGGTTTGCTTCTGAGGGACTATTGTTTTCATTTAGCGATTTTGTGTCGAATCACTCTGAACGTCCGTTTCCCTTTTCAAAGTGTTGCCACCAAATATTATCGCCCTGTATTATATTTGAAGAAATTGAATAACAAACAATCTGCATAAATTCATGTATGTTTCTCGCATCGTGATAAAATAACGGTACCTAAAGCCATCCAATTTTGAATGGCGTAATCCTCTGCGAATTGGGCATCTGGAACCCAATTGAATTTGGAAATTATTTTATTATCGTTCCTATTTTTAAACTTTCGATTTGGATTACAATTAAGAATTAAACATAACACGCCGACAATACTATCAAGTCAACAACAAATAGCGTATTTTTTAAAATTTTCACAGACTAGTTTCGATGGTTTTACCGATCCTATCTGCCACTGTGTTGCCTTTGAAATAGTCTCATGGATAGACACTTACCTCGATGGTGTCACTAAACTCTTAAATAAGAACCCATAATCCATCCCTAAAGATCCTTCACCTTCGGACCTTCAAAAAAAAATGCGATCAAATCTTCGATCATTTCAAGTAACTTAAAACATTCGCTTATCCCATCTGTGCGAACTGTGCCAGATTATTTCTTCACCAAAATTCAACGGGTATTCTTTCGCCCTATTGTATCAAATTAGTACTGCCTTGTATCATTAGGTAAATATTAGTTTTTTTTCACTCTATAGATAATAAATTTACACCATAAAATTCAATAGAGTTTATAAAAAAGTTAAATCTCCTATAATTACCATGGTTCTTTTGATGTAAAATATTTACCAATGTCCAGTGGGGTGCTTAAGAGTCTAGAAACCAGACTCGCTAATTCATTCTCTTGCATCGAGCTAATTTTCTCTCACTCAACTCTGTTGAAACAACCTTTTATTTTCCAAAATAATATTACAAGCAAACTGAGGATTCGCCATGGGAAGCCCCTCAGTCCATTGGCTGATATATACTGCATTATTATGACAAATTGTTTGAAACTTTAAACTTCCCGGTATGGTTCCGCTACTAGACGATACTTTTACCTGTTGAAGATAAAAGATGATTTAAATAAGTCTTTACTGATTCTATGATCCTGCTATTCAGTTCACTTTTGAACTCGAGATTGCATTCTCTTCTGTTTCTCGCATTCGGTCACACGTAACACATCCAACTCGTACTACCGTTTACGTAAACCTTCATCGGTTCCCTCACCACACTTTAAATCTGTCATCCGATAACCAAAAGTAGCTTCGTTTATTCTATGTTTCCTGTCTTCAGTTTGCTCCTCCAAACAGCCTTGATGAAGAATAAATTAATTAAAAGCATAGCTATTACAGGGGCTTTCACCCACATATAACAAGCATTTAAAAATTTCACTCAACACACTAAAGCCACTCTTGTTTAGGAGATTATAAAACTTCTGTTGTCATTCCCTTCTTTCATCAATTAGCTAAAGTGCACTATTTTGAGAAATTTAACTTTCGGGTGTTTATTCTCCCATCAATAAATTCAATTCATACTCAAGGACCCCATTCCGATGAATTCATGGGGTATTTATAGGATTCCTTACCAGTGTGGTTTAATTGACATTGGCCAAACTAAGACAGCCTTAAAATTTGCTTCAAGGAACGTGAGGCATATGTTAGAAAAAATGAAACACAGAAGTCTGCTGTTGCCCAACATTGGTGGTCTGAAAAGCACACTTTAAATTTTTCTGCTGCCAAAATTATTCAAAATATATCTTCCATTGAAGAACTGGATTTTCTAGAGGCATTTCACATTCAACAAAAATCTTTCTGTTCTAGTTAACGACCCTAATTCCCATCCATCTTTACCTTCAGCCTTTAAAGAAATTATGTTTTATTCGTTTCACCAAAGGCGCCACTTTCTTATTCTGTCCAGGCTTTCTTATCTTACTAAATTATTTCAATCTGTTCTTTGCGGTTTGCAGCTGGATGGTGTTCGTAAAACATCGAAACTAGTCCTGTGAAAGTTTGAAATACGCTGATTTTTGTTGTTTGACTTCTGAAAAACTCAAGATTTCAAGGAGCAATGGGCAACGTTGCACAGAAAAACTTTTTTATCTCACTCGATAACTGTGGTTCGGAAATTCTTAAATTTGCTCATTTTTAAGCTATTTGCTATATTCTATTGACTGATTTTATGGTTTGAGACGTCGAAACATGATATTTAATAAATAAAGGTAACATATAAAAATTTAAAAGAACGCCCCTTTGGACGTAATTTAAAATATTTTTTTTAATTATATGTAATTACACAAATGTATCCTTCTGTTAATTTTATATACACTGAAGAGCCATTACGTTATGAGCACCCTCCATCTATAACAATGCGCTCGCCCAGGAAATTATAAAATCCTTAACTGGTAATGTCGCCATCTGCTTTCTCTTCTCTTTCCAAACACAGCGCGATTGGGAAAAGCAATCAGAGTTCCGGATTTATCAGAGTTCCGGATATGAAGGTTTAAATTTTTATGGCTCGGCGACTGCGAACGTCAGTATCAGAAACGGCACGTTTAGTGGGCTGTTCCAAGTGCAGTTGTGAGCACATATCACATGGAGGTAGGAAGTAAAATCCTTTCTTACTTCGAATCATACATATCGAAAGTGGTGTGAAGAAAAAAGTAAACGGGTGTATTACAGATATATTGTAAGAGAAAGTTATTTTTAGGTTTCGTCCAATATCAATATATCAGGAATAAAAACTAAAATTGGTACCAAAATGCAGATAAGTTATGTAGGTCGCAAAAGTTTTTGAAATGCTCTTTTTTTTATGTATTATTAAGCAACTTAGTAATATCGGTACGCACTTTTTGGATTGTTAATAACATATATCTACTTATAATAGCGAATTAAATTATAATTATCAGATGATTTTGTTGATTACACCCCTATTTATTTAATAATCATTTCATCATTACATTATTTCCTTCTACAGATTTCCTTTTTCCTTTTCCTAAGTAATATTGTTGGTCACGAGACCGAAAACCTTGGAAAATACTGCTGTAAACAAATGATCCGATCCAATTCCACATGAACAGCACTAAAGTAGTTTATAAAAAGTATCATAGTTTTTTTAAAAAGCTTCGTCTATCTAATATGAAATTAATAAGAGTAAGGAGTTTATTTACCTGAATATGTAAAATTGTATGACAGCTGACTAACAAAGGCATGCTTTCGTGGAGAAGTTTGTAGAGAAGATAGGCTCATATTTA